TGTCCAGGCGGGTTTTGAATGTCTCCAAAGATGGAGACTCCACAACCTCCCTGGGCAGCCTGTTCCAATGGCAAGCATAAATAAACACTTCCTACAAGTTTTGAAGTTAAATAAAAGTTCAAATATTCAACTTTAAATTTTGAGCAAGCTTTTAAATAGAACACCCTCTTCCCCACTTCTATACAAAGATAAAGCAGTGGTGTACAAAGCACACAAGTTAAATTGTGTTTGATAACTGGGGAATAGCCTTACTGTCAGTTATCAAACAAATCAGGAGAATAAACATATCTCTATCTTGTAAGATAAGACTAAAACCAAAAATCCACGTTAATCATGATAGAAGTGAAACATCTGAATGCAGAAGCCTCACAGTTATCACTTAAAAGCTTTAAACCCAACTTCCTCTGATCTATTTGCTATTGTAAAGCAAATATCCAAAGAGCACTGACACTTTAACTCTTGGAAAGCAAATAACACATTTACATCAACCACCCCTCCCGCCCTTCCAACACATGGATATGAGAAAGGTCCCAAGCACTCTGTAGTTCCAACACAGTTCCATGTTCAACATTCCTCAGTCAAATCTCTAAACACCTGAGGTGCCAGTTTATAGTGAACAAAAATTAATGAATAAAAACTCTTCTGAGTTCTTACACTCTGCAAAAGAGATCAGAGAAGGAATTTACACTGGGCTAAATCCAAAGTTTAATCTAGCTTTCTTAGGATGTTCTCACCAAGAATATGTTCTCTGGGACACATTTTTAGAATGAAAAGCTACTTGGTTGAAAACAAACGGCTTTACTTTTTATGATGAAAGAGAAATGATGATTGTTGAGTTACACTGTAATACTCTCTTTATGCTGTGTCTGTAGGCTCGTATCTTTAACGAGACCCCTATAAATCCACGAAGATGTCTGCACATCCTTACCAAAATCCTTTACTTGCTGAACCAGGTAAGTGCTATCATTTCTTCCCAGCCAGAATGAATATTCCCAAGGCTAATATAAGGAAGAAGTTCTTTACTGTGAGGGTGATGAGGCCAGAGAAGTGGTGAATGTTCCATCCTTGGCAGTGTTCAAGGCCAGGTTGCACAGAGCCTTGAGAGACATGTCTAGTGTGAGGTGTCCCTGCCTTTGGCAAGGGGTTGGAACTGGATGAGCTTAAGGTCCTTTCAAAGCCAAGCCATTCTGTGATGCTGTGATTCTAATTTCTGATAGCTTTCAGTGTGAAAGAAGTTTTGTACCTCTTCCTGACAGATTTGGGAGGTAGCTTTTTAAGGAGATCCAGAATGGGGTGTTTATGCTTTAGTATTATGTTCTTCCCTCTGACTTGCTGCTAACTGGAGTGAGATACATATCACTGAAGCTTTTAATACTTTTTCCATGAGTGCCAAGTGAGAGCTGCTGCTTGATCTGTGGCCATCACAGCCCTGTGCAATGAAAGAGACACTTGTGTTTGCCCAGCTAAAGTGGGAATGGCTGAGACGAAGTGAAAACATAGGCCAAGAAGTGATGAGGTAGAAGGGTGTCTTTTTGTCTGGGGCTAAATTAGAAGCATGATAAGAAAGATTTTCTTCAGATGTTTATGTAGATCAGGTTTCGTGTGTGTCAGGTTGTATTTAACATCAAAGTAGGTTGGACCTCTGCTGTTCAGTCTTAATTCAGGCAGCAAGTAGATCCCTTTTAGGTAAGACAAAACCAAGGATGCCAGAAAAGGGAGCACAGGCTACTTAACAAACTGTTCCATTGCTGTACAGCTATGGATGGCATTTGTTGAAACCAAGTAGCTAGTAGTGGTAAATTTGACAGGTACTCCTCAGGAAACACGAGGTGAGGGAGGGATGGTTTCTAACATGAGAAAAAGCCTCAAAGCAAAGATCCTTGGTGTGTGGGTAGGTGTTAAAAATGGAGGCTGGAGGGAAGGAATGCCATGCAGAGGGACCTCGACATGCTTGTGAGGTGGGCTGATGCCAACCTCATGAAGTTTAAGCATGCCAAGTGCAAGGTCCTACAGCTGGGTCAGACCAATCCCAGGCACAGCTACAGGTTGGGCAGAGAAGAGATTCAGAGCAGCCCTGCGGAGAAGGACTTGGGGGTGTTGGTTTCATGTTCTTTTTATGTTGAGTAAACCAGAACTGCACACAGTACTCCAGGTGAGGTCTCACAAGAATGATTTCATTATTTTTGTTGTTTTTTTCCTTCTTTTACCGGTCTTTCTTTTCTCCGTTCCCTTTTCTTCTTGTCAAGGAAAAAAACAGGGAGGAGAAAAGTGCATCCCTGACTGCCCAGTGGCCATGGGCACGATGCTGCCGCTGTCACAAAGCTTCAGTGGTTGCTGTGGAGTTGCCCATGAGGAGCTGGGACCCTTTGGAACTGGTGAGGGCATCGGCGTCTCCGTGGAAACCACGGGGGCATTGTTACGACTCTTATGTGGGGTATTTAAGGCCCTGGCGCACCCTAGAGGTGGCAGTTGCCCTGTGAATCCACAGCAAGTCTGCATCCGAGGACACAGAAGATGCCAGTGGACAAGGGATCGAACGCCCGCTCCCAGCCCGCCGAGGGCAGGCCAGGAGTGCAAAGGAGGCGCCAGGTGAGGGCTGGGGCAGGAGTGAGAGGCCGGTGGTGGGACGGGGCCACATGGAGCTGCCTCGGGGCCGGGGCCGGGCTTGCCGGCACTGCGGGGGCTGCTGTGCCAAGGCAGCCGCCTCCATCACACACCTCTTCCTCCTCCTCCTGCCCGCAGGTGGGCCACAGGCCACAGCCTGAGGAAGGGCGGCGTGGGATCACGGTACCACAGCTGCCCTACCAACGAAGGTATCAGCCCATCGAGACCCAGCAGGAACAGGTAGGGACCCCGAGGGAGACAGGGCCAAACACCTTCCCAACCACGGGCATGCCGGGGCTGCTGTGGGCTGGGGCCATGGCCGGCGGGTGGCCAGCCCTTTCCCCAGCCAGCTCTGGGAGCAGGCAGCAGCCACCTGTGGGCCTGAGCCTTGCCGTGGGGCTGGCAGGGGAGCCCAACTGCATGAGCTCCCAACAGCTGGGATACGGGCGCAAGAGACACTATCACAGAGCCTCTCTCCTCGACTTCTCTTGCAGGTGGGCAGCGTGAGGTGCAGAGCGGTGCTGCCCCGCAGCATGAGGACAGAGGAGCAGACACTTCCTCGGCCAGTGGTGGTGGAAAGGACACCTCGGCCGCCACCTCGGCCAGTGAGAGAAGCCAGCAGGCTGCCTCGCCCGACATGGGCACCCTCTGCCCCTGCAGCCAGATTCACTGACATGGCCATCGGCAGGACAAGCAACAGCCAAAAGCAGCTTTGCACAACCGCTGCCCAGCAGCACCACATCCCCGCACATGGCAGCACTGTTGCGAGGCCACGGAGCTGGCAGCCTGCCCCACACAGGCCCACAGCCTGTGCCACAGCGCAGGGCACAAGAAATGTGAGCGCGGTCCTGCGCAACAACAGCGCTGAGAGCCGGGGACCCTACCAGCAGGCAGTGGCATGCCAGGACCCAGCATACAGCAGGGCTGCAATGACAAGAAGATACACTGTCAGGGCACCTAACGGCAGCAAAGCCACCGCCACTCAGCCTGCTCCTCATCCTAACACCCGTGCGAGCACTGCTGCTTCCCAGAGCAGGAAGACGGGGCGAGAGGGCAGCCTCAATGACAAGTTGCTGGGGCTGCACAAGAAGGTTCTTGCAAAGCCTCTGCCCGCCCTGCGCAGCAACATCGAGGCTTTGCAACACGCCAGGAGGAGCCGCTTGGCCAGAGCTCCTGAGGAAGAGGAGTACCAGGCACCTCTCGTTCCCATGGCACCAGCACCAGCATCTCGTGGCTTTAGCAGGCAGGCTGCTGCAGCACAAGCCCAGCGCCAGGCACCTGCCATGAACAGCTCAGCAGAAAATGACGCAGATCTGAATTTCCCATCCAGGTGCGTCAAGAAGCTTCCTTTCAGAGCTGGTGTCGAGGTGATAGAGGCACCAGCCTCTCCCGCCATCGGCAGGCAGGCTGCAGCAGGACGAGCACAGGGCCGGGCACCTGCCCCGCACAGCCACAAAGAAAGCAACATGGATATGAAGGTCACACCCAAGAGCATCCTCAGGAAGGTCCATTTCAGAGATGCTGTTGAGGAGGAGGCAGAGACCGCAGCCTCTTGTGGCTTTGACAGTCAAGCTCTGGCAGCAGAAGCACAGTGCAATGCACCTGCCTCCGACAGCATCATAGTAAGAGATGCAAAAGTGCGTGTCACACCCAGTGTCGGTGCAAGCTCCCAGTTCTGGAATATGATCGAGGAGGAGGCAGAGGAAACAGATTCTTCTCACAATGGTGATGAGGAGGCAGCACCGGAGGCAGCACCAGAGGCAGAGAGTCAGGCATCTGTCCTGCTCAGCCCAGATGCCTGTGAGTTGGTTCCACAGGGAGCAGCCCTGCTCAGCACAAGGGAGCCTCTGGTCCAGGCTGTGGCAGTGGATCAGGAAACCAGCCAGCAGCTGCTGGAACCTCAGGGCATGACCCAAATGCTGGATGCGGCAGTGGACAAAGAGGAGAAAGAGTGGGTAGAGGACATTGATAAAGTGCTGTCCCAAGTGGAAGAGATCATCATACGCAACCTCTGGGTCAACCCCTCGGTCCCAGAGCTCTTCCAGGACCCCCAGGCCGATATCCAGGAGGGGTCTGACTTCCCCAGCAGCATGGACATTGAAGTGACAGGGGAGGCAGGTGGAGACCTGCAGAACACGTCTCCTATCCCAGCCGGACCCACAGCCACTGAGTCGACAGCTTCTACATTAGCTGCATCTGCGGAGGAAGAGGAGCACCGCGCACGTCTCACTCCAGTGGCACAGGAGGAGGTGGAACCGGCACCAGTTTCTCCTGCCTGCGTCGAGCAGGAGGCAGCACCACAGGCACAGAGGCAGGTACCTGCCCTGCTCAGCCCTGATGCCTGTGAGGTGGTTGTAGAAGAAACGGCCAGGACCATCTCTGAAGAGGTCCTGATCATGAGCCTGGCCGTTGTCCAGGGAGCCAGCCAGCAGCTGGCGGAACATCGGGACATGTCCCAAAACTCAGATGAGGCAATGGCACTAATGGCATCTGTGTGGACTGGGGACACTGAGTCTCCTGTGTGTGGAGACCATCAAGGAGAGGCTGAAACAGCCATTGTCTTGCCAGAAACACAGAGAGAGGAAGTGGCAGCTTCATGGCCTGAGATGCCTGTGCCAGAGGCTGGAGCATGCCACTCTGCCCCAGAAGCAGCCAACGAAGGAGAAGCAGGAGCTTCTGCCTTTGATCGTGAATCTGGGCACCCGGTGAGCGAGGCACATATGGCTGGCACCGGAGATACTGTGGAGATTCAAGCAGGAGTCTCGCATGGGCTACCTGTGGCAGAGAGATTCCTGCTGCTCCCTATGCCAGAGCCTCTGGAGGAGCCGGAGAGGAGCAGCATGGCCCACACCAGTCACAGGCTCGACATGCAAAGGAGAGCCAGCCTGCCTTGGCTGCTGGGCAGCTCTGTGGAAAGGGAGCTCCAGCAGCAGGAGGGCCAGAGGCCTCGTTTCGCCTTGCGGCGGGGACGGATGCCCAGTCACAGGCAGGTGAGTGCCAAGGACAGGATGGGACAGGACAGCGGGATGAGCCTTCCTCTGCCTGTGGCCAGCCACTGCTCCCTCAACTCATTTTCTGCATCCCTGTTGTGTGTTTACAGGAAGCGCCAGGGACCTTGGGCGAGGAAGCTGACGATGAGGAGTTGGACGGAAAGGAAGAAGAGGAATGGGAAGAGGCCATGGACAAAGAGCTTTCTGAAGTGGAAGAGATCACCATACGCAACCTCTGGGTCAACCTCTCAGTCCCAGACCACTTCCAGGACACCCATGCAGATCCCCAGGAGGGATCCAGCTGCCCCACCAGCATGGGCATGGACGCAACAGGAGAGGGAACCAGCCAACAGCTGGTGGAGTATCAGGACATGACCCAAATCCTGAGTGTGTCAATGGCAGCACTGACGCCTGCAGCACCTGAGCACGTTGAGTCTGCTGTGGCTTCGGAGCCTCAGGGAGAGGCCAGTGCAGCCGCTGCCTCCCCAACAGTGCCTGAGGATGAAGTGGCTGCTTTCTTGACTGAGATCCCTGCAACAGAGCCTGGAACATCCCACATTCCTCCAGGAGCAGATGATAGTGGAGATGCAGCAGCTTCTCCCTTGTGTCGGGACTCTCGGCGCCAGGTGAGTGAGGCGCGTGTGGTTGGCACCGGGGATCCCAAGGCCTTGGACGGCAGCTCCCAGGTTTTGTGACAGGGCTATTTCTGGTGCTGCCTGTGTCATCCCACTGACATTGCCCCCATCCCCTGCCTGTGCTCTTGCTACCCTGCAGGGTAGGCTCAGACGCTTTGTGAGGAAACACCTGGGCAAGGCTGTGACTGTCATCCAGGGAACAAGGCAGCAGCAGGTGAAAGAGCCAGACGTGGCACAAAGCTTGGATGTGGAGTCACCGTCAACGTCGCCTGCTGTAGTTCAGGACAGCGAGAACCAGCCAGGTACTTGCCCGAGTTGGGTGGCACCCAGGCCAGACCGGCAGCAGTGTTTGCGTGAGTTCGGGTGTGTCCCAGCCTCCCCTCCATGGGCCGAAGGCTGCGTGGAGACCTCCTAGCAGACCTTCCAGTATCTGAAGGAGGCCAATGAGGATGCTGTTAAGGAGAAGTTCTTTACTGTAAGGGTGGTGAGGCACTGGAACGGGTTGCCAAAGGAAGTCCCTTGCCTACAGCTCTTCTTCCTCCACAGGCATTGCCACTCTTCCAGACCAAGGAGCGGCCCCACGGCGACGACTCTCCCGCTTCAGGAGAGTGCTGAGGGCTCTGCGCAAGGCTTTCACTTGCTCATGCCTCACCCCACGTGTGGAGGAGTAGCGCCCTGCTGCCAGCGCCAGGCCCAAGGGAGCTGTGCTGAGGATGCCATGCTGCAGCCTGCACTTGTTGTGGCTGCTTTCTTGGGCCAATAAATAATAACTCGTTTCCCCCCCCACTGCTCGTCTCTGCCTGTATGTTGGTTAGAGCATGTTTGTGTAATTCACGGACCTCTATATTTAATTAACGTAAAACAACTGACTTCAATCTAAGCGGCTACCTATCTGTTGCAATTAGTTCTAGTTTACACACAGTATGCTAGAGATTGGAAGAGACCTCAAAAGATCATCTCGTCCAGTCCCGCTTCCGGAGCGGGAACACCTACATAATGTTACACAGGAATGTGTCCAGGCGGGTTTTGAATGTCTCCAAAGATGGAGACTCCACAACCTCCCTGGGCAGCCTGTTCCAATGGCAAGCATAAATAAACACTTCCTACAAGTTTTGAAGTTAAATAAAAGTTCAAATATTCAACTTTAAATTTTGAGCAAGCTTTTAAATAGAACACCCTCTTCCCCACTTCTATACAAAGATAAAGCAGTGGTGTACAAAGCACACAAGTTAAATTGTGTTTGATAACTGGGGAATAGCCTTACTGTCAGTTATCAAACAAATCAGGAGAATAAACATATCTCTATCTTGTAAGATAAGACTAAAACCAAAAATCCACGTTAATCATGATAGAAGTGAAACATCTGAATGCAGAAGCCTCACAGTTATCACTTAAAAGCTTTAAACCCAACTTCCTCTGATCTATTTGCTATTGTAAAGCAAATATCCAAAGAGCACTGACACTTTAACTCTTGGAAAGCAAATAACACATTTACATCAACCACCCCTCCCGCCCTTCCAACACATGGATATGAGAAAGGTCCCAAGCACTCTGTAGTTCCAACACAGTTCCATGTTCAACATTCCTCAGTCAAATCTCTAAACACCTGAGGTGCCAGTTTATAGTGAACAAAAATTAATGAATAAAAACTCTTCTGAGTTCTTACACTCTGCAAAAGAGATCAGAGAAGGAATTTACACTGGGCTAAATCCAAAGTTTAATCTAGCTTTCTTAGGATGTTCTCACCAAGAATATGTTCTCTGGGACACATTTTTAGAATGAAAAGCTACTTGGTTGAAAACAAACGGCTTTACTTTTTATGATGAAAGAGAAATGATGATTGTTGAGTTACACTGTAATACTCTCTTTATGCTGTGTCTGTAGGCTCGTATCTTTAACGAGACCCCTATAAATCCACGAAGATGTCTGCACATCCTTACCAAAATCCTTTACTTGCTGAACCAGGTAAGTGCTATCATTTCTTCCCAGCCAGAATGAATATTCCCAAGGCTAATATAAGGAAGAAGTTCTTTACTGTGAGGGTGATGAGGCCAGAGAAGTGGTGAATGTTCCATCCTTGGCAGTGTTCAAGGCCAGGTTGCACAGAGCCTTGAGAGACATGTCTAGTGTGAGGTGTCCCTGCCTTTGGCAAGGGGTTGGAACTGGATGAGCTTAAGGTCCTTTCAAAGCCAAGCCATTCTGTGATGCTGTGATTCTAATTTCTGATAGCTTTCAGTGTGAAAGAAGTTTTGTACCTCTTCCTGACAGATTTGGGAGGTAGCTTTTTAAGGAGATCCAGAATGGGGTGTTTATGCTTTAGTATTATGTTCTTCCCTCTGACTTGCTGCTAACTGGAGTGAGATACATATCACTGAAGCTTTTAATACTTTTTCCATGAGTGCCAAGTGAGAGCTGCTGCTTGATCTGTGGCCATCACAGCCCTGTGCAATGAAAGAGACACTTGTGTTTGCCCAGCTAAAGTGGGAATGGCTGAGACGAAGTGAAAACATAGGCCAAGAAGTGATGAGGTAGAAGGGTGTCTTTTTGTCTGGGGCTAAATTAGAAGCATGATAAGAAAGATTTTCTTCAGATGTTTATGTAGATCAGGTTTCGTGTGTGTCAGGTTGTATTTAACATCAAAGTAGGTTGGACCTCTGCTGTTCAGTCTTAATTCAGGCAGCAAGTAGATCCCTTTTAGGTAAGACAAAACCAAGGATGCCAGAAAAGGGAGCACAGGCTACTTAACAAACTGTTCCATTGCTGTACAGCTATGGATGGCATTTGTTGAAACCAAGTAGCTAGTAGTGGTAAATTTGACAGGTACTCCTCAGGAAACACGAGGTGAGGGAGGGATGGTTTCTAACATGAGAAAAAGCCTCAAAGCAAAGATCCTTGGTGTGTGGGTAGGTGTTAAAAATGGAGGCTGGAGGGAAGGAATGCCATGCAGAGGGACCTCGACATGCTTGTGAGGTGGGCTGATGCCAACCTCATGAAGTTTAAGCATGCCAAGTGCAAGGTCCTACAGCTGGGTCAGACCAATCCCAGGCACAGCTACAGGTTGGGCAGAGAAGAGATTCAGAGCAGCCCTGCGGAGAAGGACTTGGGGGTGTTGGTTTCATGTTCTTTTTATGTTGAGTAAACCAGAACTGCACACAGTACTCCAGGTGAGGTCTCACAAGAATGATTTCATTATTTTTGTTGTTTTTTTCCTTCTTTTACCGGTCTTTCTTTTCTCCGTTCCCTTTTCTTCTTGTCAAGGAAAAAAACAGGGAGGAGAAAAGTGCATCCCTGACTGCCCAGTGGCCATGGGCACGATGCTGCCGCTGTCACAAAGCTTCAGTGGTTGCTGTGGAGTTGCCCATGAGGAGCTGGGACCCTTTGGAACTGGTGAGGGCATCGGCGTCTCCGTGGAAACCACGGGGGCATTGTTACGACTCTTATGTGGGGTATTTAAGGCCCTGGCGCACCCTAGAGGTGGCAGTTGCCCTGTGAATCCACAGCAAGTCTGCATCCGAGGACACAGAAGATGCCAGTGGACAAGGGATCGAACGCCCGCTCCCAGCCTGCCGAGGGCAGGCCAGGAGTGCAAAGGAGGCGCCAGGTGAGGGCTGGGGCAGGAGTGAGAGGCCGGTGGTGGGACGGGGCCACATGGAGCTGCCTCGGGGCCGGGGCCGGGCTTGCCGGCACTGCGGGGGCTGCTGTGCCAAGGCAGCCGCCTCCATCACACACCTCTTCCTCCTCCTCCTGCCCGCAGGTGGGCCACAGGCCACAGCCTGAGGAAGGGCGGCGTGGGATCACGGTACCACAGCTGCCCTACCAACGAAGGTATCAGCCCATCGAGACCCAGCAGGAACAGGTAGGGACCCCGAGGGAGACAGGGCCAAACACCTTCCCAACCACGGGCATGCTGGGGCTGCTGTGGGCTGGGGCCATGGCCGGCGGGTGGCCAGCCCTTTCCCCAGCCAGCTCTGGGAGCAGGCAGCAGCCACCTGTGGGCCTGAGCCTTGCCGTGGGGCTGGCAGGGGAGCCCAACTGCATGAGCTCCCAACAGCTGGGATACGGGCGCAAGAGACACTATCACAGAGCCTCTCTCCTCGACTTCTCTTGCAGGTGGGCAGCGTGAGGTGCAGAGCGGTGCTGCCCCGCAGCATGAGGACAGAGGAGCAGACACTTCCTCGGCCAGTGGTGGTGGAAAGGACACCTCGGCCGCCACCTCGGCCAGTGAGAGAAGCCAGCAGGCTGCCTCGCCCGACATGGGCACCCTCTGCCCCTGCAGCCAGATTCACTGACATGGCCATCGGCAGGACAAGCAACAGCCAAAAGCAGCTTTGCACAACCGCTGCCCAGCAGCACCACATCCCCGCACATGGCAGCACTGTTGCGAGGCCACGGAGCTGGCAGCCTGCCCCACACAGGCCCACAGCCTGTGCCACAGCGCAGGGCACAAGAAATGTGAGCGCGGTCCTGCGCAACAACAGCGCTGAGAGCCGGGGACCCTACCAGCAGGCAGTGGCATGCCAGGACCCAGCATACAGCAGGGCTGCAATGACAAGAAGATACACTGTCAGGGCACCTAACGGCAGCAAAGCCACCGCCACTCAGCCTGCTCCTGATCCTAACACCCGTGCGAGCACTGCTGCTTCCCAGAGCAGGAAGACGGGGCGAGAGGGCAGCCTCAATGACAAGTTGCTGGGGCTGCACAAGAAGGTTCTTGCAAAGCCTCTGCCCGCCCTGCGCAGCAACATCGAGGCT